AAAAATCACTTTCAAAAAGAGTGAGCCCGTTATGAATTACTCAAAAAAGGTGAAAAGTACTCTGAAAAGAGTAAAACCCTACCCCAAAAGAGTAAAACTATTCCAAAGGAGTACAACTTCCACACTTTTGGAGCCAGTTTCTACTTCAAGCAACCACTATACGCCTAAAGGTCAACTTGATAAAGGGTCTCCACTGTATGGCTCCTTTTCGAGTTATTTCCACCCTTTTTAGAGAGGTTTCCACTCTTTGTAGTGGATTTTCTCCCTTAGGGTACGTTTGCGCAGTTACTCCTGTTAACACGAGTAGTATGCGTGTGCATTATAATTATTAAAAATTAGACATATTGTGCGTGACAGAACCTATTAAATTAAGCATTTCAGCGAAAAAGTATATTAACACGAGATTACGTCCAATAGTCAAGTTTCTTTTTCACCGTGCGCGTTTCTGCACTGAATGACTACAACGATTCTTCAACCAAAATGACTTGTTGTAAAATGAATTCAGTCTACTTTAGAATGAAGCATCATGTACATGGACAATTAATTAGCTTAAAATAAACTCTTATTTGAACTGCAAACAAAGGTGTAAAAATTTTTATACCAGAGTGGAATTTTCGAAGGTTGCAGGCCATTTAATATAGGCCTTAATGTTATCCTTGCAGGGTCATTTCATTAGAAAGTATCAGTAGGGTTGGCCTACCTCCAAAATTAAGACAGAAAGTGAAAATGATGGTAAATTATGCACGATCGTCGACGCGGTAGGATTTTTTTTTACACGGTCTCGGAAGCAGACTCACCAGGTGAGTCCGTATCATTTCTTAGGGTTGCAGAACCCTGAGTCCGTCCTAAAGGTATATGAATGCTTCATTGGTTGTCCCCTAGCCTCTACAGCTCTTAAAAACCACCAAAAGTATATCACAGTTCCGTGGAGGGGTCGTTTTCCCAGGCTATCCCGATTTGGGGGGGGGCCTTGCTACGCGCCAGCCAAGCTACACCACCACCACAACACCCCCAACCAAAATAACACTTCAAAGACAGCCGAAAGAGGCCTCTAACAAGTTCCAGACAGCTGTCACTGATAAGAAACATTCCACTGTCTGCCCCAGGCACTGTTTTGTAAATAATCCATTAGATTGTACACAAGGGACCACTTAGCACACAATCCTATGGGAGTTGGCTGGAGGCCGGCTGGATTTTGTTTTCTAGCTAGGGGAGGCCCTGGCTGACTAAACCAGGTTTTTCGGCATGTACAGGGGAAGGATATGATAAATAGTCGTTGCATTTGGACGATCGAAAAAAATTACACGTTAATTAGCTCCAATGGACTCGCCAAAAGAGGCCACTCACTCTTTGCAGGGTGCTTGGAACACTCTGAGAGTCACGTTGTCTTCTGCCTGCTTGAAGTCAGGATATTATTCTCGTGTGAATAGTTTATTTATTGGTATGCAACCTGCAGAAGGGCGTTTCAAATATTTACGAAGGGGGAGGCGCACGTCATTCACCGAGGGTAGTCCAAACGAAGGTGAGCAGAAAATAAAAGCAAGGACCTTGTATTTTGGCGAAACGTCCTTTGTGTAAAGATTTTAAAGAACCAGTTGACAGAAAAGGAAAAACCACGGAAAAGGTATCTCCCGTCAAAACCCTCGACATCCGCTATTGCAGAATTTCATGATGCGACTGTGGTGTACACGAAAAATAACTCGGAGTTTTCATTTTTTGGTAGTGACGCGTGCATTTCCTAGTTGTTCGTGAAACAGCGGGTTTCAGTCTGTTCCTACCAAAGTAGCCTCGATTTTCCTGAGAAAATAGCGCCCTCTCTTGGTCCAGCGTATAGCCCATAGGAATACCGATTTTATTCATCAAACTGTTCGAAATAACCAAACGAGCAGAGTCTTCATTTCGCTAATCATTCAACAGTATTTTTGCTAAAAGAGGGTACAATTGTACAAGGTGAAGAGGACGGAATTTTTGCGAAAACGTTTCTCTTGTAAACCAAATTCCAACTCGGCTATCAAAAATCAGCGTTGCGTTGCGTTAGGAACGCGTTAATTGAAGCTATGCGTTGAATTATATAAGATTGGGCGGGAAATGAAATTAGCGAAGTGGCAGGGTGCTTGTAATAAAATGAGTTTATATAGATGGAGTGCAACTCTACGCATTATGCACAAATCAAGTGTTTCCCGTTCATGGTTTCCGCCTGATTTTTTTCTGACCCACTCGTTCACTCCCTATAACCATTCTCTTAATAGGCGCATGAGGGCAGTATGCAATTTTAGGATCAGACGCCGGCGGAGAATTAGAAGCACCTGTGAAACTCGTACTATGTGGTGAAATGATCGACCTTGCTACTCAAGTAGATACCAAACATGCCAAAACAGTTGCAGGTGATTCCTTTGCCGGGTTTGAAATCCTTGGTAAATCACAAACAGAGAGTCTGTGAAAAAGTCAGTTTTCGACTTCCACGGCCACGTCAAGAGCACCGCCAGCTGACGGCGGTAAGTGTGACATCAGGCCTATTGCGTACCATCCCGACCATAACACTGCGGTGGTATCGTCCGCTTCTCTCCCCAACACGGAAACCGGAAGCGGAAAACGAGCCTTAGGACTTGGGGAAAGAGTTCCATATACGGACGCCAAAGTAAGTACATGTCAAGAATAGTTCTATTTGGGAGGGAAAATGCCCGTACGATGTCGTTTATTCAGAAAACGCTCTCACATTTTCAGACTAGGCTCAAACATGTCCAAGGGTTTTGGCCTATGCACAGGGTATTCAGAACTATATTGAGGGTAACAAGTGGTGTCCGTATCTGGAAACGTCTTTCAAAGCTTGGGATTGTCATAGACTACCCTAAAAACGAAATGTATAAATGTTGGGTGCAATCTGTGCTATTGCTCTGCGCAAATATTCAGCTTGCAATCTCCAACTTTACTGCCCTGTTTGAAACAGTCTTTACAACTGTGAATTTGAAAGAAAAGCACAATTATGGGCAGATGATGGAATTAATCAACAAAGCCTGTTGTAAACTCAACTAGTTGTGCAAAGTTCAAGCGAACGCACCTGACAGCCAACTACACCCAGCATTGAAACTTGAACTTGAAGATGTACCATAAATAAGCTTAGGAGTTTAATTACTCTGTTGTATCTAGGATGCCCTGTATGTGTTCTCTTTGCTCTAACACCCTTGATCACATGGAGTCATCAAGTCAACAACAGCGCAACGATTGTCAAAGTGGGGGGTGGGAGCAGTTGTGAGACCATCATGCGCAGTACCTGCCAAAAGTGTGGGGACATTTACCACCAAGTGGAAAAAGTGGGAGGAGTAGCCCCCTTGAGTATATGAACAAAGTCGTTTACAAATTGCCGACATGTGTATGAGCATCGGATGTATTTTTCTGATGTTTACAGCTCTCTCAAACTGCTATATATAATTGCTATAGTTGACACAAAATGAAAACAGACTCTTCATGAGTATATGAAATCTAGTCTTCCAACTTACTAATTTAATTTGGAATCCTCAAAGTTTCATGTCTTTTTCAACATTTACTCTCTAGAAATCGCATCACAAGGAGGAATTAGTAAGGTGCCAGTGAGGTCCTAGTGAACAAAAATATGTTACCATGGTGATACAAGAGTGTCTTCTCTCTGTCTTAATGTCCCACCCCCAGGTTGTCAAGGGGAATCGCTTGCAACTCACTGGACAGCAAAACAGGATGACCCAAGGAGTGTAATGGCAGGATTCATCGTCCACCAGTATTTCTTTGATGCAAGGAAAAGATTAAAAGAGGACATTGACTGAGAGATGACCGTCCAATCATGGTGGGTGGAAGGGGTCACTTCGGAGGTCTTTCTAAGCAAAAGGTATTTTCATATTTTCATTCCCTTTCTGCTTTCTTGTGTTTCTTACCCTTATTCCTTTTGACTTCCTTTTATTCAGAAAGGGGGACATACCATCTCTGCCCAAGCCCCTCCTCAATACTCATGGTTGGCTCAATACTCATGGTTGGCTCAATACTCATGGTTGGCTCAATACTCAAGGTTGGCTCAATACTCACGGTTGGCTCAATGAAAGAGCAAGTGGTCCACATGCATGTACTGCAAGTATGTTACCAAACCAAAGCAGTGTTGGATGGAAAAGGATTATTTTTAGCGTGTTGTCATTGATTTACACTTGTATTTGAACTTCCACCAACATGTATGTACTTCGTATCATTGCAGAAATCATTTTACAGAGAGCTAACCCCATACCAAATTTTTTTCATTTTCAATTTGGAGAACAATTGTTGGACCGAACAATCCTTCTTTCTTTTGAGTCCAGATGGAAACCTTTTCATCAAATGTCATCTAAAAAAATGACTGTTTTTCTCCGTTTCCACTTCCTCCTTTCATCGTGGCCATTAAGCTCAGCCCCTAAAGAGGCACAAGTCTTACAATAGTCTGTATATTTTATGTGACCTCTTGCAGATCCAGGTTTCAGTGTATGAATCATCCAGTGGGCTTCAAAGCTAAACCAGTCAGCTAACCAGCCAGCCAACCGATCAACCAGTCAGTTATGCTAGACAGCCAACATTTGCCAGGCGTCAGTGTTGCTGGAAGTCTTTGGACCAGCCAGTCAGCCCACCAGCCACCCAACCAGTCATCCATGCAGTCACTGTCAGTCATGCTAGAGTGTCAATGTTAGCTAGGCGTCCATGTTGCTGGAAGTCTTTGGACCAGTCAGTCAGCCCACCAGCCAACCAACAGTCATCCAGTCACTGTCAGTCATGCTACACAGTCAACGTTAGCTAGGCGTCCATGTTGCTGGAAGTCTTTGGACCAGTCAGGCAGCAGAGCAGTACTTAACAATAGTAAAGCTACTTTCTAATTTTCT